TCTTTAAAATCATGCGGGAAATATTCGGAAGGAAGTTGATGAGATATTGGAGAGGAAGGAGTGAGCGTCGGAAGTTCGTTAAGAAAGGCAGCTTTTGGTGTTTCCGGTACGATCGGGATAGGGTTGGAAATTACGTAACGGCGAGTGTTACTGTTATCATTGTCTTTCGCATGTGATTTTTTAAATAACTTATATTTGGGGGCATTTGTGACCAGACGAGAAGTCAACGTTTTTCCAAGGTTAAAATACTTTTTTCGTTTTTGATGCGCGGGTGATATTGGCGGCTGCTGTTGTTGTTGCACAAAAGGTGGCTGTTTATCTGTTACGTGTGAAGGTATCGACGATAGTATTTTTGACTTTTGTTGTTGAGATAACATCGAAGCTTTGGCGATAACATTTCTTATTTCTTCGTCACAATCATCATCATCTTCTGTGGGTAAGGAGGGCGGTGGCGAAGGAAGTCGAACACCGTTCGTTTGTTGTTCTTTAACAGGTGACCCAAGTTCCGAATAATCAGCATCATTATCATCTTCCTCTCTATCGGAGTAATCATTATCCATCATGTCTTCCTGAGAAAAATCTTCTAGATTTTCAGAAGGTTCGTACTTGTTTTCGGTGTGTTGCTCTTCGTTAGTAAAATAAGTATCTCTTTCGGAAGCAGAAATTGCGACCCCTCTGTATTGATCATCGTACGCGGGATGATATTGAAATGGAATTGCTGGTAAATCTTTCTGTTGGCTAGCACCACTTTGAACATGAGCCATTATCTTCGAGAATAAATTTCAATCTTTGTGACAGAGATTCTTGAAGACTGCGGATTGTTTTAAATTATTCTTTGGAAAAAAAAAAAAAATAGGTAAACAACCTATTCTAACAATTGTCGCTTTACAGGTTAAATATGAATGAAGTAAAAAGGTTCTATTCAGTGAACAGATATGTTGAATTGTGGATGGGTTTAGGTTTCTGCAAAAAAATTTTTTGAAAGAAAAAAAAAATTGGTATCTTTTGGAAATCAGCGGCTCTTATATATTATTAATTTATATGACAATTTTATGCGGGATGTGATAACTATGATTTCACAAATGCATGAAACTCCCGTTGTCCACATAATAAATGTGTGATGCACGTTGTGTATCTATGCAGTGTGCTTTAAAGAGATCCATTGATAC